CTCAGAGTAATCAATGTCTTGCTTCTGTTGAAAGCATTTTGCAACAAGTCTGACCTTGTATTTTTTACTGCCATCAGACACAGTCTTTACCCGGTACACCCACTTGTTGTGCATTGCCTTCTTCCCTGGGGGAAGTTCTGTTAGATCTCATGTCTCATTTCTCAGCAGGGAATCCATCTCCTCCTTCATGGCCAGCTCGCACTCGCTAGAATTTTCATTTGTTAAGGTTTCTTCATAGCTCTGTGGTTCCCCAGTATCTATCAGCAAGATGTAGTTTAAAGTTGGTGAGTAACGCTGTGGCGAACGCCTGCTCCTGACTGACCTACGAACGGTGGCTGAAGTAGTAAATGACTTGTAAATGACTCTGGATCTGCCTGCGGAATAATAGGAATGGGTGCCCCGGACCCATTCTCCTCCTCATTCCCATCTCCGTCCTGCTATGTGTTTTTTGGTAGATCGTCGAACTCCACGAACTCTGACTCCTGAGGAGCTACTCCAGAATTTGTATTGGTCTTGTCCTTGTACATCATATTCTCATTGAAAATCACATTTCTGCTTCTGATAATTTTCCGATCCTGATCAACCCAAAAACGATAGCCAAATGCTTCGTCTACGTAACCAATGAAATAACATTTCTTTGACTTAGCATCACGCTTGCTACGTACATCAGGATTGGTTAGCACATAAGAAAGACAACCAAAAGTTTTAAAATGAGAAAATTTGACCTCTTTGCCGCTCCAGACCTCTTCAGGTAATTTGCAGTCTAATGGGACAGATGGTCCTCTGTTGATTAGGTAAACTGCAGTGCTGACCGCATCTGCCTAGAAGGTTGGTGGCAGTCCTGCGTGCAATCTCATGCTCCTAGCACGCTCATTGATGGTCCTGTTCATGCGTTCTGCAACTCCATTTTGTTGTGGTGTCCCCAGAATGGTCTTCTCCATTTTGATACCTTGAGCTGCACAATACTCCTTGAATCCACCATCAATGTACTCACCACCATTGTCAAATCTTAAACATTTGTCTCCGTTTCAACCATGGCCTTCCAAGTTTTGAACACAGAAAATACATCAAATTTATGCTTCAGAAAGTAAACCCATACATTTATGCTGTGGTCATCTATGAATGTGACGTAGTAGCGAGAGCCTCCAAGAGATGCCACTGGGGAAGGCCCCCACACATCAGTGTGTACCAGTTCTAGTTTTCCTGCCTTTGGCACCCTGCCACCTTTCAAGAAACTGACCTTCTTCTGCTTCCCCATGATGCAACTTTCACACATGCCGAAATCAACGGACTTCAGTTCTGGTAGCTTGCCTCTGGACTGAAGCTCTTTCATATTTCTCTGACTCATGTGTTCAAGTCTGCAATGCCACATGTCTGTTGTGCTCTCTACAACTATGGTATCAACATTATTAATTAGACTAGTTGTCATATATAGCGTACCAGACTTCTTACCTCGAGCCAGTACCAGTGCTCCTTTAGTAACCTTCCAGGTGTTATCAGAGAACACTACTGAATGACCTCCCTCATCAAACTGCCCAACAGATATGAGGTTTTTTTTTCAGTTCAGGAATGTGTCTAGCCTTTTGCAGGATCCATTTGTTTTTTTTAGGGAGTGCAATTTCAACATCTCTCATTCCCACCACGTTCAAAGCTGCTCCATCAGCCAGGTACACTTTCCCAAAGTCACATGAAACATAATTTCTCATTAACTCCCGGTGCGAAGATGTGTGAAAAGAAGCCCCCAAGTCCAGAATTCAGTCATCAACAGAGTTATGAACTGCAAGCAATAGCCCATCCTGCACTTCTTCAGTTACAGCGTTAGCACTGATGTTCTCCGTCTTCTTAGGATTTTTACAATTTTTCTTTATGTGACTAATTTTGCCACAATTCCAGCAGGTTGCGTGCTGACCAGACTTTGACTTGCTCTTGCTTCTATGGTTTGATTTCGACCTTCCTCTGTTTGAGTTCTTGTCTTGTGATCTCCCTCTGGAATCAATATTCAGTGCTGAACTCGAACCTGAAATCTCGTCAGAATCTTCCTGCGCACCTCTTCAGCAAGAATCAAGTCACGAATATAATCAAGCAGCAAGAATCAAGTCACGAATATCATCATATTTCAGCTTAGTTTTACCTGCAGAGTTGCTAACTGTCATCCTCATGGCTTCCCAGCTATTTGACAATGAAGCCAACAATATCGGTGCACGCATCTCATTGTCAAAATCAATTTCAACGGACGATAATTGATTTATAATAGTGTTGAAATCATTTAAATGTTGAACAGCCGACACACATTTCGCCATCTTCAGATTGAATAACTTTTTCATCAAATGCACATTGTTATTCGCCGATGGCTTTTCATACATACTTGATAAAACTGCCATAAGATCTGTCGTCGTCCTCTCCTTTATGACATTGTAAGCAACGAACCTCGATAGGGTTAATCGAATAACCCCAGAACCTGTCGATCCAACAGATTCCAATCAGCCTCTTCCATCTTCTCCGGTCGTTTTCCCAATAGTGGAAGATGAAGTTTCTTCCCATACAGGTAATCCTCTATTTGAATCCTCCAGTATCCAAAATCCGTGCCGTCGAACTTCTCGATCCCTAAAACCTTCACTTCGTCTCCGGCCATCGTTCTTCCTCAGATCCGAACCGGGGCTCTGATACCAATTTTTGTAAAAAAATGACGGCAATAAAGCGAAAAACAGATCTAGAAAAACTACACCAGAAAAGGCGACACAAGATTTACGTGGTTCGGCAAATTGTCTACGTCCACGGAGCTGCAGAGGTTTTTATTAGCTTTGAGGATTACATCGTCGACCACGTCGACTTACAAGAAAAAATTCTCTCTCTCTAAACTGAGAGTCACACCAAGAAGAAGAAAGACAACTTTTAAAGAAAAGTTTCATTGTGATTCTTTTATTTCAGTCTCACGACAAAATATAATCCCAGGTGAGAAAGCTGTTTGGAGAGTCATACCCATCCCTGAAATCGTGAGTCCCTTTTAAAGCTTCACAGTATCCAGTTTATTTTGGTAATCATTAATTTCGTGATTCCATGGAATCATGCTTTAATGACCCATATAAAGCCCATTAAGGCAAGTTATCAAATTAATTGCCTTTTTCTTTATAGCAACAGGAGGGGCAGGAGATTAATCTGGTAAAGCTTAATTAATTAATTAAGTTTTCCTTAATTCTTCATGTCAATAGAAGACAACTGCTTTAAATAAAAATTGGGAATCATCAAGCTATGGCAGAGAATAAAATACATAAGGAAATGAATTAAGAACAGATAAATTAGAATCAATTTATCAAAGAATCTGCCGTAATAGGAAGTGGACCGGGTCTCCAGCTTCCTCAACAAATACTTTTGTATTATAAACTTACGCATGAAAAGACATACGTCACATTTAAAAAGTTAGTAATCGTGATATTTTGATGTGATGTTAAAAGATTTGAGTGGTATGACATTAGATATCAAAGTTCAGGTGTTAGATATGAAAATATATAAGAATTGTGTGGTATGTATGTAAATGCCCCTTATATATATTATCTATTAAAAAAGAAATTTCGAGGGATGTAGAATTACTCGCAAGTGAAAAACAGATTTACAAAATCATAATAATAATTTTCTGTCGGAACCATAAGTCGCCCAGCTGTCTAACATGTGAGCATTCTTCACTACTACCAACTGCTAGAAATTTACAATTTCAACCCACTAATAGCACTAAAATGTAAATGAAATTTACCCTCTCAAGAAGATTGAGATCAAACTGCAATTTTTTTCTCAAATTATTAAGAGGTTTGAGGATGTGGCAGCAACTCAAAATTTAAATCCAGTAAATATTGGATTTCAGCAAGAGACGAGACCTTAAAATCGGGTTGTCGATCTTTCGATAAAGACTCGAGAGGGCCATACCTTCCACTTTCATCTAATAAACATGTAAAGGCTCCAGCTTGCTTGCCACAAGTCACCTATTTGGGATTAGAAGAATCATATGTCAGTACATCATAAGTTAAGAAAAAGAATATAGATGCAATAAATAGTGAAGATATACAGTTATTGAGTATAGTGAATCTCCTCTATAATCAATACTCACCTTGGGTAAGATACATGAAGTATGCTTGGGGCGCATTTGGTTGTTTTATAGAGCGAAGCGAATATTTTGTTCTCCCTCGGTTAGAAACTTCATTTTTCAAACAAATTTGTGAAATTTGATGAAATAATATTTTTTCAAATTTCTAACTTCAAGCAAGCCCTTAGCAGTTTTCTGGTTGAGAGGTAAAGAAACTTTTAAACGAGGCAATTATATACATACCAACCAATTCCTATGTATTTACATATCCAACATCTAAAATTTACTCTTTACATTTATACCACTCAAGGCTTTCATATTACATAAAAAATACCATTATTTTAACTTTAAAAAAGGGAAATATATCTTTTCAAGCTTTGATGCTCAACAACCTCAAAACTACTATTGCTTTTCTTGTCATATTTTAGTAGACCACCAAAGGAATGTGAGAATTTCAATATCCAACAAACTTTCAGGAAAATTGTATTAACATTACTAATGTAAAAACCTTCTACTAGGACAGTCTCTTCATAACGAGGTTGATAAATCTATACGAGATAAGTAAGATGTAGATTGTTGTAGCTAAATCTGGCTTTGAAGCTACATACAAGGTCATCGTCTGTTCTACTAGCTAAATAATGTTGATTAAAATTACAGTTTAGTATAATTAAACTTCTTTTACTGCAAAATATGATCCTTACCAATGACAATCATGCACTATTTGTACTTCATTCAATCATATCCTCCATGAATAAATAAAAAATATTAAAGTGAACTGGCACTTCATTAACATGCAGTGTCTTCACTCCATACATCTATAAGGAAAAACGTCCAGCTAATATCTTTACCAAGGTTCTGAGACCTCTTCATTTTTTTGAGTTTTTGCAAAAGCTTTAACTTATTGATATTTAAACACCAAATTGAGGAGTGCTAATAAATTAGAATAACATCTTATTACTATATAATACATCATCATATTTGAGGACATCTCCTATTATCCTCCATAAATATTTTTCCTCTTTGCCTATATATAGGCAATTGTATTCGGTCAATAGGACAAAACAAAAAAATCTCTTTAAAACTGACAACAAAAATGAATAAATACAAGTATCGGATTCTGATGCTAGTTGCATTATTTTTCCCCTAAAATAAGCTCATGAGAAATTAATATTAATTGCCAAATCCTATGCATAAAAAATACTATTAGTTGACTACATTGCAATTTGACTAATATATGATAATTTAGTTTGTGTAATATGTTATCATATCTAAATTATCACACTGCGAACTTATTTATAATAAGAATTTACATTATCTATTATTATAATTTTTTTAAGTACTTCACAGTTAGTAATCACATCTGACATGGTATCAAAACCTACCGAACTTCCTATGCCTCTTTACTCCTTTCAATTGAGTTTTCTATTTCCAACCCTCTACATTGAATCAATCCCGACATCTTAAACTTGAAGTAGCTAGTCCTCCAAGTGAGTCACCTCTATCAAAGAAGACAAGAACTCCATCATTGCATGTCTAAACCTTGATCATTAAAGACTGTATACTCCAGTCTGTGACCTCCTCTTCCTCTTAGAAAACCTCTATAGTGATTGGCATCCACAAGTCTCAGGACCATCTAAGGGAAACCCACATTTGGTGACCACTGTCTACTATCACAAGATGTCTTCACTATCATCTTGAGTTCGTTGGGGAGTGTTACTATATCAAAATTATCACATATGCCAACTTATTTATAATAAATATATGCACTATTTATTATTACAATATTTTTCATTATTGAGATATTCTATTCTACTTTATTTTCCTTAATTGCTATTTTCTCATGCCTTCTACTAGAAAGACAACCCAGCATTCTCTCTCCTTCCAATACAATGCACACCCTAAAAGTATAAAAACTATATGCTAAAGCACAAGTTCCTGCATTCCATTGCAAAATTAGAATGGGAAATAACTTTAAGAGTCGGAATCTCACTAGAAAAATAACAGCAACTAAAAGAAAAATCCCTGTCACTAACGCTCTTAAAACTGTGATCTTTAATATGGCTAGATTGCAAATGATTTTGGTCCCATTTTCATTATCTGGAACATTGCCTTTTGGGTAATGAAGCTTAAGCATACAAGAGCTGAGAGGCAAGGTATCCATATGAAATTTAAATGGAATGGTAGTTTTCAGTTGCCAAAACACTGAGAGCGTATAGTATTTGTCCTAGTACCTATTGTCGGTCAACTTTTTCTTCGATTTAGATAGATTTGAAAATATGAATAGAAAAATATATTTTTGGAAATTAATTTTAATATAAAAAATATATGGTTTG